ATCGAGGAAGGAGGGGACGAATCGCAGATCTTAGCGCAGAGGCGGGATCGATGAAGGGTTTCAGTTGGGATTTCGGTGGAGGCGATCGCCTAGGCTGCGATCGAGATAGGGAGAGGGAGCTGGGTTCGGTCACGAGTGGAGGGAGGCTACGATGCTTCTCTGTGAAGACGGATCGAGAGAAAGGGATCGAGCAGAGAGCGGGAAAGTCGGTTGCCTTCGTCGCAGGGAGGAGGCGAGCGGGGTCTTCCTGTTCGCAGAGGAGCGTCCGAGCAGGGTTTTTCAGCGCAGGAAGGAGAGGAGGTGAGCGATGCCTCTTCTGCGTTGTGGAAGAGCTCACGGGATCGAGCGTCTGTTATCAGTCGCGCGCGAGAGGGAGGAGCGGACGAGCGGGGTCGAGCGGGGAAAGAGCGATTCGAGGAAGAGAGGAGAGGGAAGAGCAGGGAGCAGGTTTCAGAACAATGGGGAGAAGTCGAGCGCTCTTGTCGAGCGGGATCGAACGCGAGGAAACCTCCAAGCCGAGCGGGAGGAGGGAGTCGAGATTGAGCGTGAGGAGGAAGAGGAAGTCCAATTGTCTCTCTCGCTCTCGAGGAAGAAGCTGACGTTTTTTTTTTAGAATATCTTTCTTTCAGGCAGCCAGCTTAAATGGAAATATTTAATGGGGGATTAAATCATAAATTTTAATTTTAAAATTTGAAATTTGAAATCTATGGGCTGAAGTAATTAGCCCATGTTCAGTCTGAATCGAACCCAAGTCGGATCTGGCTTGAGCCCGTGCCCACGTACCGCTAAAAAAATGCATCAATTTCCGTGCTAGTCGCTCGTACCCGAAACCATAACAATGCGGGTGTCCTTCCTAGCTAAAATTGACGTTCCGGACGCGTGGGTGCAGTCTGTTTCGTCATCCGGGGTCGTCCGGACGAGTTCGCCGGCGGGCGAGTCAATTTAAGCCAAAATTGACAAAGTCGTGTGTGGTGCAGTGAGTGCATGAATTGCGGCATTCACGAGTAATCGAGTCACAAAGGGTTCACCTAAGGTTGTTTGATCCTATAGGAACTCATTTTCGGGCCCTCTACATGTTGGTCCTTAGCCCTTGCAACTAAAAGTTTAGTGCTTGGAACCACTCATGCGAGTTCTTCACAAAAATGAGTTAAGAATTGACTTGAAGTTTTACGGGAGGTGGGCTCCATTGCTAGTCCGCTAGGATGGTCAATAAGAATTCCTAAAGCTAGATCCTAGGTTCTAAGAGCAGGAGACTAAGACCTCACTAAAAATGAGGTCAACAACATAGATCCTTTTTCTCCACTGTATCCTATTGAGTGTCATATTTTAATTTAATAAATTAAGATCATTTTCATACAACATGCCTGAGTCTAATTGTATACTTGTATTTTTCGTATACTTGTATACTTGTGTTGATGAAAGTTGTGTTTCGGGATATGATGATTTTGTTTTAATGCATTTTTTTTAATAGAAACTTAATCATTTTATGATTTTGAAGTGATTGGTGGAGTTTCAAGTCTAGTTGATTTCTAAATAAATCTAACTAAATGATGGAATTAAATAAATTTTATTTTGTTTCTCTAAGTTTGTTTTCTAACTTGAAACCTAACGGGGCCATTACATAGTCACAGTGTTCTTATTCATGTTCTGTAGTGATTTGATCGCCTTCTTCAAGTACGTTGAAATCTCTCTTCTAAAGGTTTGTAGTTGTGAGGTTGTGCTAATAATTTTATGTTCTTATTTCTCCTGTCGATAAAGACTGGGAGTCAGATTGTTTATTCAAAATATGCTGGAACTGAGTTGGAATTCAGTGGAGCCAAGCATATCATTTTGAAAGAAGATGACATTGTCGGCATTCTCGAAACTGATGATGCCAAGGATTTACAGCCCCTGAATGATAGAGTTCTTATCAAGGTCTGATTTTAAGCATTTTAGATCATTAATGTTAGTTATTCTTCTCTCAGCTTTTCTTTTTTCTGTCTAAATTTGAAGTGAATGGGCGCAATAATATTTTTTTTTCTTGTGGCCAAAATGCTTAAAATTTCGTGACTTAAGCACACCTCTGCTTAACATTTTGGAAGATTTACATTTATATCACTCAAACTTTTTCTATTTACACATCAAACACCTAAACTTCAATTTTTTACTCATAAAACACCTTACCAATGCATGAAAAGGTGTGTTTCACTTTTTAAAAGTTAAAAGTAACAGTATTTTTTGATGTGATGAAATATTTGGGTTGTATAAATGTAATAAGTAAAATTTAGGTGTTGGATTTGTAAATACATTGTAATTGGGTGGATGGTAGTAGTATGTATGTAAATGCTCTTAATATTTTTAGTAGGTTTCTTATAGCCTGCTGAATGCTAACAATTGAATAGTGCTCGTTAATCTCATCCAGGTTGCCCCTCCTGAGGAGAAAACATCTGGTGGCTTACTGCTTACTGAGGCAGCCAAAGAGAAGCCTTCAATTGGGACAGTGAGTCACTTTTGTTTTTTAACCTGAATCTTAATTTACTCTTGTTTTATCAACTAATAGTAATCTTCTTTAATTTATTAAATTTTCTACCAATCTTTGATCAAAATTTCATTTGGATTTCATTGTTTCTTGGTTATAACAGGTGATCGCAGTTGGACCTGGTTCTTTGGATGAAGACGGCAACAGAAAGCCACTAACCATCAGCACTGGAAGTACAGTTCTGTATTCTAAATTTGCCGGAAGTGAATTAAAGGGTCCTGATAGTTCGGATTACATTGTCTTGAGAGCATCTGATGTGATGGCAGTTCTCTCTTAAGTTAATTGATTCGGCTTTTTGAGGTGAGCTGGTGTTGCGGCCCATGCTTTTTTTAGGCTTAAGTTTCTCATTTCTGCTGTCCCATGAAATTGTTGTTGATTTGATTCCAAGATGCAAGTTTTCTGTTAGATCTGAACTTGTGTTAAATTATGAGGCTTTTTGCCAATTCCAAACATATAATTCAGAACATAGCTAAAGTTTTGAATGTGATATGTTACTGAAGTTTTGAGTAATGTGAATAGGAAGTTTTGTTTTTGCATGTTTTGATTGATTTCAATAATTCATGCAAAAATGAGGAAAAAGTAGCTTTACTCATGAGCGGTTGGATTTTTTATTGAGCTTTGTGCAGTTGGTGTTTCTTTAGGGGCTTTACGGTTGGCCTTTTAGAAAATATTGCGTCTGGAGTCCGTCCGGTGTCCGGACGCGAGCTGCGTCCAGACTCCGGATGCAATATTTTTTCCTGAAAAGGGGGGAATTGTATTTGCAATATCTGTATTTTAGTTTTTCTGTTGTTTGGCGAGGCTCATATGGAAGCAGTGCTACATTCATCGTATTCCAAATGCACCAAACCTATCTTTCTTCCTGTTTTTAGAAAGCCTGATTCAAGTTGTGCCTGTCGCAACTCAAAGTCTGTATAAACCCTTCTCAGGTGATTTTATGTGTTTCAGCGTTTTGCCTATTATAATCATAATCATGATAGGCAACAAACTCGTTACTAAATGTTAAGCGTCAAGAAAATTTTAAAAAAAATCACCGGAGACTTCCCCCAAAGCTCTACTACCAATTATGAGTTGAATGAAGTCATTGTCGGGCTTGAAGGATTTTCTGCTAGTTTTGAGCCTACACCATCTGATATGGAGTAATGTTTTTGATTTTGTTGATTCTGATTATTATGATTTTTATGGTTTCTCTGATATGAGCTATGATTGACATTATTTCTGCAAAATCTTCAAACCGAAGGCATTTTTTCTCATATGGAGTTGTTACTTTGTGAGAATGGTTTCGGCAATCAGACACTTTTTATTGTTTATCCAGCCATCCTTATGTCAATGACATCTGGTATGCTTTGTATTTTTTATTTGTTTTTTAGTGCTTGAATGGACAATATTGAAGTGTTTTCTAGAATCAAGATTGAAATATGGGATTCCATGTTGATCCAACCTTGAAACTCATATTTAATTCAAAGTTATTTGTTTCAAAGTTGAGCAGACAAGAGTTGCTGAATTTTGCTCTATTAGATGAGCTCGGCCATTTTATCCGAGGTAGGCACGAGTAAAAAAAATGGTTGGTTCTATTTTAATTGATTTTTTTATTTTTCAATTCCATCATGTGTTTATGTATAGTTGCATGTGTATCATATTAGAAGGAATCATAGAACCAACTTTGCGCTCATTAAGTCTAAAATTTAAAAAGAAATTTTATTCTGGCAAATTTACATATAACAACAAATAACAATAACAAAGCCTTAATCCCATTAGTTGGGTAGGCTACATGAATCTTTTTTTCGTTGCATCTTATTTAATGTCATATTTTCATTTAGTTCTAGTAAATTAAGAACATCTTTTATACAATAAGGTCTGGTCTTTCTAGATCTACCTCTGCCTTTTTTAATACAGGTCGAAACTAAAACATTTATTCTCCTAATTGGATTATCACTAGAGCTACACCAACTCTTTCATGAAGATATTCATTTCACATTTAGTCTGTAAGTGTAAAGCCACTCATCAACCTAATCAATCTCATCTTCGTAACACTTAAATTTAGTATTATGCTTTTCTTTTAAAGGCCAGCATTTGGTGCTATAGAGCATTGCTGGTTTCACCATCATCTTATAAAATATTCCTTTCAGTCTATGCAGTACTTTTCTATTACACAAAAGTCTCGAAGCATTCTTCTACTTAAACCAACCAACTTGAATTCTACTATTAACATCTCCATCTATATTACCATTGCTTTGAAGAACAGACTCGAGATGTCTAAATCGTTCACGTCTTTTAATATTTTTATCACCAAAAGTTACACTTCTGTCACTAGAGCTACTACTACTAAAATTACATTCCTTGTATTCAGTTTTAGTTCTACTGAAATGAAAGCGTTTAGACTCCAATGTAGACCCCATAATTCATATTTTTTCTGGGTTTTTTCTCTCTTCATATTCACGAGAATGATATCATCAGCAAAAAAAATACATCAAGGTACATCCTCCTATAAATGTCCTGCAAAACAATTCACAACTAAAGTAAAAAGATATGGGCTTAAAGCTGATCCCTGATGTAATACAACATAAATAGGAAAATAATTGGTCAATCCTCCTTCAACTCGAACACAAGTAACAACGCTAGTATACATATCTTTAATGACTTGAATATAAGTCATATCAACAGCTTTCTTCTCAATAACTCTCCAAAAGATATCTTTTGGAATCTCATCGTAATCTTCTTCTAAATCAATAAAGATCAAATGGAGATCTTCCTTATTATCTCTGAACTTCTTCATTAAACTTCTCAATAAATGTATAGCTTCCATAGTAGACTTGCCCGTCATAAATCCAATTTGATTATGAGAAATCTTTGTAACATGTCTTAACCTATGTTCAATTACTCTCCCGTAATTTTAAAGTATGACACATCAACTTAATTCCTCTATAATTTACAAACTCTTGTGCATCTCTTTTATTCTTAAAAATGAGGATCAAAATACTCTTCCTTCACTCTTCAGACATCTTTTTAGTTTTTAAAATAATATTAAAGAGTTTAGTAAGCCAAGAAACTCTCAAATCTTCTAAAAATTTCCACACTTCAATTAGGATATCTTCACGGTAAAGGAAGAGGATGGGATTTTGACAAATCCAAGGTAAAGTGCTTTCGATGTCATAAATATGGTCATTATGCATCTGAATTTTATACAAAGTTGCCTCATGGTAAAGGAAGGGAAGAAAGTTCAAATTTTGGCGCGGAGAAGGAAGCAAAGATGTTGTTGATGGTTGTTCAAGATGGAAAAAAAAAACTGAAGCTGATATTTGGTATATAGATACAGGCTGCAGTAACCATATGAGTGGAAGTAAGTCTTTTTTTCCTATCTAAATGAAGATTTTCATTCTACATTGTGCTTTGGTGATCATTCTACTATAAAAGTGATGGGCAAATGCGATATTAAGATAAGAACCAAGAATGATTTTGTGGAAATGATTTCTAATTGTTGTATGTTCCTGACCTGAAAAGAATTTATTGAGTGCTGATCAGTTACAAGAAAAGGGTTAAGTAATCACTATTAAGAATGATATTTGTGAAATTTATGATTTTGTTAGAGGTGCTATTGCAGTTTTTTAGATGAATTCAAACATATTGTTTCCATTGAAGATTGAAAGCATTCAATATTGCTTGATGGCCGAGATGAAAGATCCTTCATGGCTTTGGCATTTTCATTACGACCACTTGAGTTTTGGTGGATTGAAAACCCTCAACAGAAAAATATGGTGATGGGCCATCCTCAAACCACCACTCCTTCCCAAATAGGTGAATAATGTGTTGTTAGTAGACAACATCGTTCTGACTTTCCAAAACGAAAGTCATGGAGAGCAAAAGAAGTTTTGCAGCTGGTTCATTCAGACATTTGTGGTTCAACAAACCCAATTTAATACTTCATTACCTTAATTGATGATCTTTCTAGAAAAAAACTTAGATTTATTTTTTACAAGAGATATTAGAAGCTTTCTCTACATTTCAAAAATTTAAAGCTCTTGTGAAGAATGAAACAAGAAAGAAAATTCAGACCCTATGAACAAAACGTGTTGGTGAATATTGCTCAACAGAGTTTGAAGCTTTTTGTGTAGGACATGACATTCAAAAAGAACTTACAGATGCATATATACCACAACAAAATGGTGTATCAGAAAGAAAAAGTAGAGCCATTCTCGACATCGTGAGAGGTTTGATGGGAAAATGAATAATTCCAAGGTCTTTTTGGCCATAAGCAGTAATATAGAGCATTCATCTTTTGAACAGTAGCACAACCTTTGTTATTCAAAACATAACACCAGAAAAGGCTTGGAGTGGGAGAAGACCAAATGTGGATCATTTCAGAATCTTTGGATGCATTGCATCTGCTCATGTTTCAGATCAGAAAATGAAGAAACTTGATGACAAAGCTGTAAAATGTGTCTTTCTTGGTGTAATCCAAAGCATACAAATTGTTCAATCCACTACCAAAAAGGATTGTGACAAGTAGGGATGTTGTTTTTAATGAAGAAAACACTTGGGATTGAAATAGGCAGCAACCTACTCAAGTTTTTTATGAAGATTATGTTGATCTAAAGAAAATTTCAGAACCTTACTTGACTGAAAACTCATCAAGTGCTACTCATACAGCTATTGAAGCTGCACCAACAACTGCTAGAATTAATTCTCTTCGTCGTATTTGAAGAAGGCCAACTTGGACGCACGACTATGAGGTAACTGGAATTGACAATTCAGAAGATCCAATTACATATTTTGCTCTATTTTCATATTAAGATCCTACCACGTTTGAAACTGCCGTCAAAGAAGAAAAATGGAGAAAAACAATGGATGCTGAAATTGATTCCGTTGAACGGAATGACACTTGGGAGCTCTCTGATCTTCCAAATGAGTTTAAAACAATGTTGAAAGAAAATGGTGAAATTGACATGCACAAAACACACTTGGTTGTCAAAAGATACAAGCAGCAATATGGGGTTGATTATACAAAAGTCTTTTCTACAGTAGCAAGACATGACACAATCAGGTTGGTGTTGCATTGGCAACACAAAATTCTTGGCCTTTATTCCAACTACATGTCAAATCAGCATTCTTGCATGTGTACTTAGAGGAACATGTATTTATCGAGCAACCCCCTAGTTATGTGAAGATTGGAAATGAGCATAAAGTTTAACGATTGAAAAAAGCTCTTTATGGACTTAAGCAAGCTCCACGAGCTTGGTATAATCATATTGAGTATTATTTTCTTAAAGTTGGTCTTTCTAAGTGTCCGTATGAACATACATTTTTTGTTAAGATTGGAGATAAAGGGAAAATGCTCAATGCATGCCTATATGTTGATGATCTTATATTTACTGGAAATTGTGATGTTATGTTTGAAGAATTTAAAAGGTGTATGATGAATGAATTTGAAATGTATGACCTTGGTATGATGCACTACTATCTTGGCATAAAAGTAGATCAATTGGCTGATGGGATCTTTATTTCTCAGAAGAAGTGAGTTGGAGAAATCTTGAACATATTTAAGATGAAGGATTGTAATCTTGTGAATACTCCAGCTAAAGTTGGCTTGAAGTTACACAAAGATCATGAAGGAAGAAAAATTGACAGCAACTTTACAAACAAATTGTGGGTAGTTTGATGTATTTAACCACAACAAGGATAGATATAATGTATTATGTGAGTTTAATCATAAGGTATATAGAGATTCCTACATAAATGCCCTTGTTAGCTGCCAAAAGACTTCTTCGTTACTTTCAAGGAACAAGAGACCTTAAAATATTTTACAAGAAGGGTGTAAAGTCTAATTTGTTAGGTTTTACTGACAGTAATTGTGTAGGAGATCAAAATGATAGAAGAAGCATTTCATGCCATGCTTTTATGTTTAGAACAAGTGTTATTTCGTGGTCATCTAAGAAGCAACCCATTGTCACCATGTCAAGCACATAAGCTGAGTTTTTTGCTGCTACAACTTGTGCTTGCCAAGTTGTTTAGTTAAGGAGAGTTCTTGAAGAGCTGAAATTCAAGCAACTAGGAGCTACTAAAATTTTTTGTGACAATAATTCAACAATCAAGCTCTCCAAGAATCCTGTGTTGCATGGAAGAAGCAAGCACATTGATGTGAAGTTTTATTTCTTGAGAGATCTTACCAATAATGGAACAATTGATCTAATTTATTGCAGAAGTGAAGATCAGATTCCTGATATATTCACGAAAGCTCTCAAGATGGAGTCATTTATGAAGCTTAGAAGATCACTTGTAGTCTGCTCGCTGGAAACAATCAAGACTTTAAACTGAATGTAAGCAAACATCAGTTTAAGGGAGGGATTGTTGATTAATTAGCTATTTTTACTTATTGGTTAATTGGTTGTTGCATGTTTGAAGTGGTGGGTTGTGAGGTAGTTGCTACATGTTTGAAGTAGTACAATAGTAATTTTTCATTATTTTATTTTGTGTGTGAGAAAAAAAAAGAAAGAAAGAAAAATATTTCCTCTTTCTTTTTAACTTGTATCAATATATGTAAATTTTTATTATCAAGTAAAATAATGTGATTAGTTATTTTTTTAAAAAAATACATGTAATAAATATAATCCTAATATGAAATTATATCCTAAGCTTTTAACCCAATAATTTTCACATAAATAGCCCCTCTTGAACATGCTCCAATCAAATATACCATAACAATAATAAAGTTACATAACATTATTGATGCTCTCAATATTTACCATACAAATCATATTAAAAACAATTCAAATTCATACAATTAATTTCAAGGATGAGATCGAATTAAAAGTGCAATCATATGAGATGGAAAGAACATAGCCATAAACATTCTGGCACAGTTCTGAATTATTTGAAGTCCTCTTTGCCCATTTATCCAACCATTCCTTCCATTCCTCTCATCTATCAAGAGAGCCGATCATCACCCTGAACCAAAAAAAAAAAAACAAATTAAAAAAAATAATAATTAAAATAAACCGTAATTGCTTGAAAAATTCTTATTATAGAAATAATCTTATAAAACTAAGCTTTTTTTAAGACGACCAAACATTAAAAATTAAATTTATTTTTTTTATGCTTTTTTGTTGAGTTTAGTAAATCCGATGAATTTAAGAATTTTTTTAATCATCGCTTCCCTCAGTCGAATGAAAAAGTAATCCGTCCGGACGTGTGGTCAGCGTGTTCAGACGGCCAACCACCGACCGCCACGCCCCTTGTCGAGGTGCACGATGATGTGGCATCCGACAGTTCGCCGTCTGGCGTGCGGTGTCTAAACATAATATTTTCTCGAGTGATATTCGAGCATCGAACGGGCAAAAAAAAAAAAAAACCCTAGATTTACATAAAAGGAAAAAAAAATCTCCAAATTAAACCATCACGATCGAATATGAAAACAATTATTAAAAAAAAAAAAAACAGTTGAGGACGAACCAATCATAGACGGTAGGGCTCCGCGGCTGCGCCACCTTCTTCCGACGCAAAGCCGGAGAAGACGGATCACAACCGCCGGCGATGGCCGGAATTATGTCGAGGGAGGCGGCGGCGGAGTTTGAGGAGGAGAAGCGGCGGACTTGGCCGGAGTCGGGGAAAGGGCCGGCCACCGTTTCGTCCCAGAGGTGGTTGAAGAAGCTCGTCTGAATTGCAGCCATCGTGTTTGATAGAACGCCTGAGAGGGAACTAGATCTCTTTTTATGCAGGGAGTTGTTGTGTGTTGTTATTTATATAGTTTGCAGATGATTTATTATGAGCCGAACAAGGAGGATAAGCCTTAATCGATGATGATTGAATAACTAATAATATTTTAAAGAGATATTTACATAAATGCCACTCAATTACTTTGTATTTACATTTTACATCCATACCAACCTTATCCATGCATAAAAAACGTGTATTTTACCTTCTAAAAGCTAAAATGGTGGTATTTTTTGTGGTATAAATGTAAAAAAAGTAAAATTTAGGTGTTATTTTAAATTATGATTTTATTTGTATGAATATAATTTATGAAAAGAATATGTAATTATTTTGTGGTTTAATTAATATATATATTAAGAAGTATATTAAGTGGTATTGTTAAAATTTATGATTTTGGCATGGAAATTTAATTAATATTCTTGCGTTTTATTCATTTAATAATTAAAAAAATTAATATAATTTTATCTTGATTAATTTAATTAAAAACAAATTGAATCAATAGCTAAAGTTTAAAAATAAAAAAAATCAAAATTATAATAATTAAATTTCCAAAAAAAGATTAATTTGCATTGATTTTATCAAAACAATCCACGCTCTTAATCTTTGGTGGTATAGACCATTAAACTTGCTAAAGATAATGATAATAATTTTTTTTTTTTAATCTATATTGATGACTTCTTCTAATTATACAGAACGATGACAACATGGCAACTATTTTCTTAAATTGGGGTATATTTGGAACATTGGTGTTATAAATGTAAATATGAAAGTGTAGTGGTAGATGTATAAATAAATAAATATTATGGGATTTTTATGTAATTTTTTTATAAAAAAGAAAAGCAAGAGTTTTTATTAATGAAGCACATGTAAATCCTTCAAAAACATTTGTTATGCTTAATTTTAAGATGACATAAATAACACATTTATTTACATATATTGGGCCACATAAAATAATTGTTAATTTATTTTCCAACAATCTCCCACTGGGCCACATATGTCATTTTATAAATGTGTTTACTTTAGTGAGCTCAAACTTTAATATTATATATAGGGGCATTCTTTAACTATCTTGTCCATTAATTATATTAATATAAGAACAAAGAGGCCTTAATCACAAGTATAATATGATTGGACCCATCAATAATCATGTATATCAATATAATCAAATGACATATCAAATATGGACATGTAGCACAAAAATTACAAGCAATATGATCTACATATGCTTAATTCCAAATAGTTCAAACTGAAACTTTAATGAGTTCATAAAAAATTGATCATTTTTGCATATATATATAAAAGAAAAAAAATCAAAATACAAAATTCCAACTAAAATTATATATTATCAAATATTGAAGATCCATATAAGCAATATGCTCATGAAAAATCTTGGGTAGAACTTCGTTAGTGAGCGGATCCACAGTCATGGATTTTGTGTCCATGTGTTTAATAGACATTTGACTATTATAAACTCTTTTTTTAAAAAAAATATATAATCTCTATATGCTTTGATTTTGAAGAATTTCTATTGTTATTGGGATATATAACTTCACATTTATTATCACAAAATAGCTTAAATAATCTTTTTATGCTTTTCACAATTTGTTGCCTTAGGATTAAGTTTCACAACTATATTTCATGATTGGACGCTTCATAACATGCTATAAATATTGTTGCTATAGTGGAAGAAGTTATTAGTGACTATATAACACTCTTCCAAAAAATATCTCATCAAGTAAGCAGACAAATATATCCTAAAGTGGATCAACAACTATCTTGACATCCACCAAAATCTAAATCCGAGTAACCAATGATCTTAAGTTGGTTTGACAGTTTAAATGTGAGCATTTAATCTTTCATTCTTTATAAATACTGCATAACCTGTTTTGATGCTTTCTGGTGATCCATTACAGGGTTGCTCAAACATTTATCCAAAATCCCAACAATATGCTATATTCTGACACCTGCAAACTTGGCCATACATTAGACTACATCAGCTAATGCATAAGGAATCATTCTAATTTCTTTAGCCTCATGAAGTCATTTTTAGGATGCTGACTTAAAGTAAATTTATCTCCTTTAGCTACAAACATGTCACTTGGTTTATAATTTTGCATGTCAAATCTTACAAGAAGCTTTTCGATGTAGCTCGAGAATGATATTTATATATTTTAATTCTCAACACAAAAGAATCGTCACAAAGATCTTTCATTTCAAAATACTTTGATAGAAATCTTTTAGTTTCGTGCAACATGCCTATATCACTGGTGACAATCAATATATCATAGATTTATAATACCAATAAAATATATTTACTCCTACTAAACTTATGAAGTACAAAATTATCCACAATTTGTCTCAAAACCAAATGAAATTGTCACTTGATGAAATTTGTGATAAAAAAATTAGTATTAAGTTATATTTACATAACCGTCTAAATATCATAAATTAATTAATATCGACAAAAGAGGCTATTTTGATAGGTTATTGTTTTAATTAATTAATTTTAAAATATTAAGAATCTAAATAACCATTATTTTGAGGAAGAGGAAAAATGAAATTAGTATAGCAAAATAGTGCAACAAACTAATGTAGCAACGTCCCTGCACCATGATTTCGTTAGAATTGTTTCAAGACAGTTTTCGAAGTCCGAAATTCAAACTTAGGCTTATATCAAATACTAATCCCCCAAAAATAAATCTTTAATCACATGTTTGGCGCTGGAGACCTCTCCCCCGATCGCGAATCGCGATCTCACGCGAACCGACGCTCCCACTCCCCCCTCCTTTCGCGAATCGGAGCCCAATCCCACTCCCGATCGCCAACCGCTCTTGCCTCCTATATTTCGCGAAACAAAGTATCCCTTCGCTTCCTTCTCTTTGTGAAAAAAGGAGAGCCAGATCTGTGGTTACGGAAAGTCACGTTGTTTCTTCTTTGGGTTTCCTCGGAACAGATGAAGGAAAGTGCAAGAGGTAGTTCCTTGCTGTGAAGGAAGAAGAAGAAGATTGTTCTCCCTAGATTTCTTCTTGGTGGCTTGTGACAGAAGAAAAATTGAGTTTATTTCTCTTGTAAGTTTGTCTTCTTCGGTGTATCTCGGTGTAAAAAGAGAAGAAAAGAGAAAGAAGAATAGAGAGAATAACGAAGAGTGAGTGATTCCTATTGTAAGTCGAGATGATCGACTGATGTAAATTTCCTCGAGTAGTAAAATCCTCTGCAACTTCGTGGACGTAGGCAATTTGCCGAACCACGTAAATCTGTGTGTTCTGTTTTGTTATTCTTTTCTGGTGTGATTTTTTCTAGTTTCATTTTTCGCTTCGTCAATCATTCTCCAGTTTGATATATATATATATATATATATATATATATATATATCCCATATTAACTGGTCTGATATATAGATTTCACAACCAAAATAACAAATCATGATATTATTATGAAAAGTATAATTTTCTTGAATTTACACAACCAATAACACAAAATATTCCATGTCAAATTAGCAAGAGATAAAAAAATGAGAGTGTGGAAGCTTACTTTGATTCATGATTTCTTATAGTTATGGTCAAAATTTTTTTCTGACTAGATTCCAAGCAAGAGGGGATCTCTATAGTTTCTTAAGAAAAAGTGAAGAACACTGCATGCATGAAATGAAGACCATGACCTTTTAAGATAACTACAAATGAGTAGTTATTTAATATACATTCATATTTACAATTTTGCACATCATAAAAGTTGAAAATACAAATTGATCTCTACACTTATTTTTACGATATTATTAAGTTTTAATACCAATAAGCTTGTAGTTTATTGGATCAAATTAATTAGGCTTAACTTTAAGATAACATAAATAATACATTTATATATATATATATATATATATATATATTAGCCCAAATAAAATAATTGTTTATTTACTTTTCAACAATCTCCCACTTGAGCCACATATGTTTCCTTATAAAGGTATTTATTTTAGTGAGATTAAACTTTAATATCTTGTATAAAGGCATTGTTTAACAATCTCGTCAATTAGTTATATCAACACAAACAAATGGTCATGCATATTGGCACAAACCATTAACACATAATGTCTATACCTTTAAAAGAAAATAACATCTAAATACAAACTCCTATTTGGCGTACAACTTATGCAACTCTTGACTCCGACCCATATAACCTATGAACGTTAGCACAACTCATCACTAAGACATACGTGACCAATGTCCTACATGGTTTACAGCTAGTGCAACTTTCGAACCTAGCCTCTGCGGCCTATGAATATTATCCTAGCTCACCACTAAGGCTTACGTGATCAATTATGGTCTATTTTGCTTACAGCTCGTGCAGCACCAAACTCTGGCCTCTGCAGCCTACGGACATTATCCCAACTCATCACTATGACCAATTATGACTTACGTGACTTACAACTTATGCAGCTCCCAGCTCCTGCCTCTGCAGCCTACAGACATCATCTCAGCTCCTACAACTTCCCACCACAACCTCTGTGGCCAACTGAAACTCCTGAAGTTACTATCTGTAACTTCCATGACTAAATAATACCACGACTTTTAACTAAAACTTATATTACAAGTTTGTTCAACTACAACCACCTTCTACAACACTCGTGACAGATTACTGCATTCGTAACAATCAAATATGACACCTCTAGCAGTCTGGCCGGGTCCAGTGATTTTTTCCATCTCAAGGTTTTTCTCGTAAAATCAATGTGTCATGTCATGTTTCTCTTTCATTACCCATGTGTGTTGGTATCGTGTGTAATGCTAAGTCAGAAATAATCAACTACTGTCATGACCCTTCCATCAGTAAATATTAAAATTTATATATATATATA